AAACTCAAATTTAACTCAACTTTAACTCAACCCTACTATCCTCAATATTATCAAAATAATTAGATAATATCAACCAATCATTCCTACACATCACATCAACTTAATTCATTATTCATTAACTCACATAATTTTAATTAACCATCACTTCCTTCCATTTTTCTCCTACTATATATCAAATCAACTTTAATTATTTAATTTTAATATTATTTTAATATATCCATTAACTACTAACCATACCATATTTTTTTTTTCAAAATTAACTATAGTTAAAAAAACAAACCAAATAAAAACTAATTTAATCCATAAACAATCACTCCCTAAGTAGTCCGCAGCAAAATTTGCCTCACGAAAGATGTGAGAAATCTTAACCTGCCAGTTTCGACTGAGAAGCTCTCTTATCCCTATGATCAAACTCGGATGGACCCTTTCAATATGCTCACAATTATTTGCGAAACTCACGATGCTAGAATTGTCAACTTCCGCTTCTACCCGATGATATCCCAAGTTCCAAGCTAAGTTAAGGCCCTAGAATAAACCCCATAACTCTGCTCCTGTTATTGAGCATTCCACAATGTTCATCATGAAGCCGTTGAGCCATTTTCCATGGGAGTGTCAAAGCAAACCTCCTGCATAGGCCATGCATGAGGATTTATTACGTGCTTCGTTTGAGTTCACCTTTATCCAAGAACTCGGTGGGAGTTCCCATCGAACAAGGCGTTGCACACGAGATGACCCTATACCAATCTTCTTAGCCCCTTTGGCGAAATGCAAAACATTGTTGACATAAGCACTGATCTCCTTAACTTTTGCCAAAAGCATCCATCCCCCGATCATGAAAGATAGAGATATTTCTCCAGTGCCATAATTCCACAGAGTTACGCTAAAAATGCATTCCCAATTTTTTTTGTATTGACAACGGTGCTGGGAAGATTAAAGAGGTTGGTTGTAAGCCAATCCTCCAGATCAAACTGAAAGAAGTACGGTCGCCCCGCTACCAGAACCAATCATAGCCAAACTTGAATGGCTTCATGACAATCCCTGAGGACATGAAGTAGGGTTTCCTCACAAGTAGGACATTTATGGCAGCACAACGACGAGGCTAAGTGTCATTGCCCTCTCTCAACATGGGTCATATACGGCCCTTAAACACTAGCCAAATAAACTAACATATGCTCTGAGGGCCAGACCATCGTCAAATAGCTCACCAAGGCCCACGAATATCATTTTTTTCTCCATGAATAATAAATCGGTAGGCCGAGCTAGTTGAGAATTTGCCATTCCCAGAAGCCTCCAGTAAAGACGATCATTCCCCAACTCAGAAAGAGGGGTCAGAGTTGCGGCGATCTTTAGCAGTACAGAAATGAGAAGCAGGTGTTTTAATCGAGGCCAAAACCAGTCCTTATAATCAAAGGTAAGTTTTTTATCGGTAGTGCCATATCTTCCGGCAGAACTGGGGCTAGGCCCACATCGCAATGTCTGCCCATTTCGGGGACCCAAGCGTCCATCTAGAAACGCGTATTCTCTCTGTTACACACCGCCCACTTGGAACCTGTCGTAATGTGTTTCCAGACCTTATGTGTCGCATGCATTATGTTCCAGGCGGCTGGGCTACAACGCCTTGACATAAAAGGGTCTGATCCGTATTTAGCTTTCCAAATACGAACCCAGAGAATGTTCGGTCTCGTCAAGACCCCCATGCCAATTTTATCAACAGGGCCTCGTTCATCCTTCGTTGCGACTTCAATCCTAAGCCGCCATCACTATGAGGTTTGCATACTTCTTCCCGGCGGACCAAACTTAACTTATGTTGCCCCTGGGTACCTCCCCAAATAAATCGTCGACAAATATATTCAATGCCATTACATATACCAGTCGGGATCCACGCAGATGGCATGGTGTAAATGAGAAGCGAACTAACCACCAACTGAGCTAGGACCAGGCGGCCCGCCAATGAGAGAGATGAGGCTTTCCATCCCGCTAGTCTTGATTCTGCCTTTTGTAGAATGTGAGTGTATGTCTGTTTATTGACCCTACCATGAAGAAGTGGAACTCCCAAATATTTTCTGAGGTTCTAAATAAGAGAAAACCCCAATCTATTGGCCAAATCCGCTTGGATGTCAGGTAAGACATTTTTCAAGAAGTATACAGTGGTTTTTTGTTTGCTTGTTTTCAGCCCAGATTCATCGCAAAAGGATCTCTGCACCGTCTTCAAAATATCGACTTGGCTCATGTCCGGCTCCAAGAAGAGGAGAAGGTCATCAACAAAAGTAAGTAGGTTACTCGTGCAACACCTCTCCCCATAGACATCGGTTTCCAGTGACCGGCCTCTACCTCAACTTGAATAGCATGTACGAGCTGCTCAATACATAGAACGAAGAGATACGATGAAATGGGGTCACCTTATCTCACACCTCGGGTGGGCTGAAATTCGTTGCATGGTGTACCGTTCCATAGGATTTGCATCGAGTACGAAGATACACACTTCATGATTTTTCTATATACCTAGCTGGAAAGCCAACCGCTACAAGAGACGTTTCCACATAATCTCGACGCAAGAAGTCATAAGGTCCACCTTCAGTACCATATAGCCTTTGCGTCCCATCTTAACTCTTATAGAATGAATCAGCTCTTGGGGAATAATAATATTATCTGTGATGTGACGTCTGGGGATGAAGCTAACCTGGGCTGGGCCGATTAAGTGTGGGAGGGTCGGCTTCAAAGGATTGGCTAAAACCTTTGTCATCATCTTGTAGATGATGTTAAGAAGACTGATGGGCAAAAATTTCTGATATTTCCGGGTGCTCAACTTTAGGGATGAGAACGATGAGGGTTTTGTTAATCTCAGTCGGCATCGCACCAAACATGTTTTAATAAGACGACATACTATTGGGCTCACTAAGTCCCACTGACTCTAAAAAAATAGGGCATTCAACCCATCTAAGCCTGGTGATTTGAGCGGTCCCATTTCCTTGAGGATCAAAGATCTCAACATCAGATACCTCTTTGTTAAGAGTTGCAATTGTTGTGGGGGCTAAGCGTGGAAAGTACGAGAGTGTGGAATGGGCAGGTGAGAAGCCATCCTCGACTGTGTATATAGTACGGAAGTAGTCCAAAGCCATCGACCGTAACTAGTTGTGGTCCTCGACTAAATTTCCGGCCTCATCCTTTAGCGCCACAATTTTATTGCAATGTCTTCTGATTTTGACCTGTCTATGGAAAAGGGCAGTGTTTTATCTTTAAAAAGCGTCCACTCTTTTTTCGACTTCTAGAGCATCAGAAGTTCCTCTTGTAAAAGGATTTCATCAAGCTCCCTAATAAGGTGTTGTTCCAAGTCAATGAGGCGTCCAGAGTTATGGCATTGTAAGGCTCTTTGGATTCCACCAATTCGAGCAAACAACTCTTTTTTTTTTTCTTGAAAATATATCCAAAAACTTCAAAATTCCACACCTTCGCCTTTTCTGCAAAAGCTCGAGAAGCTTCATCAAAGTTTCGTCTCTCTACAAAGCAATCGGTTACCACTTCCCTGAAGCCATCATGGAGAAGTCATTGCGCCAGAAATAAAAAAGGTTTAGGTCCTCCTTCTCTTAAAGTACGGGGTGAGCAATGGATTAATAATGGGGTGTGGTCTGAGTGTATTCTTGATGGATGAACAACTAATGGGGTTGGGTGAGCAATGGATTAATAATGGGGTGTGGTTTGAGTGTATTCTTGATGGATGAACAACTAATGGGGTTGAGTTCACCGAGCATCTTTCGTTGAACTCAACCCTATATATCTATATATATTACATTTTATTTATTGTATGCGTTGTAAAATTGTAGAGGAAAATCAAAGTGAAAGGGATAGTATTTTTTTTCTTATAAAATTAAATAAACGAAAAAAAAAAGAGAAAAAAACATCTCGTGCAGGAAATTAGATTTTTCTTGAATCTGTAAAACAGTTGTTGGATACTTTTGGCCACCTTCATCTTAAATCATCTCGACTAGCATCAGATATAAACAGTACGAATGAACAAACTCATATACTTAATGCTGGTGGCAAGAGTTAATTTATAGATAGATATCAACATCAAATTCTTCCCTTCCCACCAACACAGGACAGTATAATTTTTCAATCTCTCATCAACCGACAACCTGACATAGGATAAATTATATGATTTATATGGGCAAAGAAGGAAGTCCATCACATCACATCACATCACATCAGCAGTTGATGCCGCACTGCTGGACGTCGGGGCCCGTGACCCGGGTCGTGAAGGGGTCGATCCGTACCCAAAGAAGGGAGAAGATGGAGGCAAGCAGGATGGACCAGACGACGACAATAGTGGGCGTGCGGTTCTGGCGGCCCATCAGTCCCTTAAGGAAGGGGTAGAGGTGAACGATGACCCAAAACGCAAAGAAGAGCTTCCCAAAGAGTGGACCCCACGACTGGTACCCGCTGTTGATGGCGTATGATACCCCGGCCACGACCCCCACGATGTTAACAATGAGAAGGGTGGTCGGTGGGATGAGGAGCGTCGTCCACTTGAACATGTAAAGCTCCGCGAAGTCCCCGTCCTCGTCCGATGCCTTTGACGTCACAGTGAAGTTGGTGTCGATCCCGGCCAATACTTTGAGGAGCCCTTGGAACACGGCAAACAGGTGAGCCGAGACCCCACCGATGACCCAGAACTGCTCGTTCCTCCACCACTCATCGATGCCTACCCCGCTCCACCGCATCTCCAGGATTCCCGTTGCGAATATCGATAGAAAAAGGGACAGGAACCATATGCTAGCCACATTACTAATCTGTGGAATAATGAACTTTCCTGTGAGCAAGCAAACGGCTGGCAACGTGCAGTAGAGTAGAAGAGGGATGGCGGTGACTGGGTATATAGTGGTGTTCACGTATGCAAACCTCTCCAGCCATTTTAACCTCCCACCATACCCGTACCATATTGGGCAATGCCTGCTGAAAAGAATTTCTACTGACCCCAGGGCCCACCGGAGCACTTGGTTCAGACGGTCTGAAAGATTGATCGGAGCCGATCCCTTGAAGGCCGGCCTCGGGGGCATGCAGTAAATTGACCGCCACCCACGCGCATGCATCTTGAACCCCGTCAGAATATCTTCCGTCACAGAACCATAAATCCATCCTATCTGCAAACACATCAAAAGGAAAAAAATTTTGTCTCACAAGAATGCTGTATTGATTTGAGTCGACAATTTCGAAGAAGACCAGAAATTAAGCTACTCAGCAAAGCTAGTAGCTACCTCGCTTCATTCTTATTTATGCAAAGTGCTTTGTGTTATTTAGCCTTACAATATGATTTATCTCCAGTAGTAATACATCAGGGAAGGAACATCTCATTAGAAAGGTGAAACTCTTTCATACTAAACCCAATGAAGTACAAGTCAAATCACATATCTATGTCAGCATTCTGTCACCAATACCAAAATCCAGTTTCTTTTAGACATATTAGATATAATAAATAAATACACGAGAAAATAAGTAAAGAAGCACCATTCATGCCTCATACAACTCAGATGGGAAATAACATACTAACCTCACTTCCCCACTCACTCTTGTCTTCATACCCGCAACTAATAACGTGAATGGCCTCTTTCAGAAGAGTCTCTGGCGTCGCAGACTGAGGGACACCACCATTCTCCATCAATGTAGATGCAACAAAAACGGCAGATTGCCCGAATCTTTTTTCGAGACTCATTTGCGACATGAGTAATGACTTCTCGTCATCAAATCCAGCACCTGACTCAATCACCAAAGAATAGCATTAAAAACATAAGGAGAAGAAACAAATAGACGGCCACGCTGAAATGCTACAAGAATAAAGAAACAGGAGACACCCAATAAGAGTGAATGCAAAGGCAAACTCACAAATTGGCATGGCTTACCAATGTCAATAAACAATCAGACCAATCTCGTAGGACAAGTATATCTTTACTAAAGGGCATTGTTTCACATTTTATGGGTGGTCAATGCCTAACCGTCATATCTGTTAGGAAAGTAAAGTTATAGAGTTTGAGAGAAGCATACCTTCAACACCCTCTTCTATATCCTCCAGGCTGAAGATGGGAACAGTGGGGTCGACATGCTTGCTAGATTTCTTTTTATCTGACCCCTTACTTGATTTAGAGCTTTTCTTACTTGATCGACCAAAGCAGGATGAGAGAAATCCAGGCTTCCTATGCTTAGGTTTGTGAGGAGGCTCATATCCATACAAAGCTGTTCTGTTGAAAACACATCCAGTGCCCACATACACGGGGCCTTGAATGCCATCTAAGCCTCTCAAGTTAATCTGGTGAGCCGAGAAGAACCACAATCACATTAATTTTTAACTAAATAGGTAAAAAAAATAAAATATTAGAACTGTTTTTCACGGATCTGATGTTTAATCACTTTTATCATAACACACACCAATATGAAAGGCAAACATAAAGACAATCCGTTCAATCAGTGCTGAAAAACTCACATCAAAGAAGACAGTGTTGCGATTGGCATATCGATCACTCTTATCAATACCATCAAATCTCTGAGGAAACTGCACATAGCAAACATATTTTCCGAGATTTGGGTCCATCAGAAAGCACATTGCTTCACGCAAGGCCTTGCTGTTGTTAATGTAGTGATCACAATCAAGATTCAACAAGAAAGGCCCGTTGGTAAGAACTGCTGACACACGAACCTGGCATATGGTGTAATTTAAAATGTCAAACATGTAGGCAGAAAAAAGAGATAAGAAAAGTCAATGTATTGACAACTTACAAGAGCATTCATAGCACCAGCTTTCTTGTGGTGCTGAAACCCCGGGCGCTTCTCACGAGAAACATAAACCAACCTAGGCAGCTCATTACCCTCACTGTCGAGACCTCCACTTTGGCCCAGGAAAACCTGCAAGCAAGCAAATAATAAAATTAACACACACACACACACACAATATATATATATTGAATGAATATATTCTACTGTGGTACTTTGAGAAAAAGTTAAGTAGTCATATATATGCATATCTACTTAAAAAACAAAAAGATCTGCCTAAAAGACTGAGAATTACTAAATAATAAAAATTACAAAAATGAAACATATGAAAGATTCTCTCAATTGCATATACACTTCGGCGCGCAACAAACTTAATGTTCATACAAACACTCGATGTGTCAAGGAACATGGACAGTCGGGCAAGGTATAATTTCAGATCTCTGAAACTAAGGTCACCTGGATCATTCCAGGATGATCTCTAGTATTGTTTCCAGGCCATGGTGTACCATCTTGCATGATCCAACCTTCTTCAGGAACTTTTTGAGCTTTGGCAACAAGTCCATTGATACGAATTTTGAACTCTTCATATTCGCGCTGTAAGGACAAACAGTGACACAAACATTGAAAAACTTGACCAAATGTAAAAAGGATAGAAGGTTATATTGGAAAAAATCAAAATTCTCACCTTCATAGCCCTACGGTCCTTTACGAAGGATGGCTGAACTTTATCTTTCAAGTAGTCAATCTTCTGAGCAAAGTACCATTCTGGAGCCCGTGGCTCAATATTATACTTTTTACAGAACGGAACCCACATCCTTGCAAATTCAGATGTTTCTGACAGGGCTTCAAATGTCAACATGGCAGCACCATCATCAGAAACATAGCATGACACCTTGTCAACTGGATAGTCCACCGCAAGAATGGACAGAACGGTATTAGCTGTAACAAGTGGAGGCTCCTTTAGGGGATCGACTGTACTGACAAATATGTCAACAGCTGCTAATTGTGATGGCTCTCCTTCGCGATCATACCTGTTACAAATAATTATATAGTTGGCCAAAAACCAGAGTTGAAAATGAACTGCCAAATCTACTTGAGCTAAAGAAGAGAACTCACGACTCATGAGCAAAAAAGGGCATACAACGATTTCAGTTGCCATAGGAAGGTACAACACAATCTTTCTATTCACACGAGTTCAATTGCAAATAATGCTAAAGAAAGGACCAAATCGTAGCCACACTCACCTAAGAGCAAGCCTGTCGAGATATGTTTCGCGGTTCACGGGAAGCCATTTCGGAAATTGATCCAGAATCCAGGATATGGCAAACCATATCTCACAGATAACAGAAATTAACCACAAAGCATACGCATTGGGTACAGGATTTGTTATTCGATAGTGCAAGAAAATGCAGATAATCACCAACCGCAAGACAATGACCATCCTGTAAGGGTTTATCCTTGATGATGGAATTGAAACCTTCCTTGATAGTGGCTGTCGAGCCTCATCATTCCTACAGAAAGAATGAAAGTAAGCACATAACAGAATGGCTTCTCTTAAAAAAAAATAATAATAATAAAATAAAATAAATAAATAAACTTTTGTATTCAAAGGTTGTCATGGATCAATGTGCACAGCCAAATGGGAATGAAGCCTTTTGTCGACTTCAATAACATTATCCATGTTTTTGGATCAGTAAATAATCTCTACACATATAAGACACTTCACAAAAAAATTGAGAACTCACAGTAGAGAATCATCCATAAGAATATCTGTGCTTGCATCAATATCTCCAGCTCCTCTTTCAGAAGGAGGATGGCTCGCAGTCATTGGTGCAGCAGGTTTTTCCTGCTTCATCTTCCAGCCATCAACTCTTTCTTTCCAGGCAACATTGCCTAAGCCTTGGGATCCAAACTCCCTTACTGGATCCACAATCCTAGCTGCAAATCAAGGATATATTTACGCACGAGAGACAGGAGACAGAAGGGGGCAACACACACGAGAAAATACTATGATTGATTTAATCACTAGTACGGAACAGAAGTTTACGTTTTCCACCACCACCACCATGAGGTGGAGATGCCATCGAAAGGCGTCCAGGTGATGCAGCAGATAGTTCTCCAGACACCTACCAAGAGGAAATATGAAAAATATCAGTTCACCAGCTATGGGAAATTCTAATATGTGGAAATGAGAGAAATGTTCAAATGGAAGCGCACACAAACTTACATCTGTTCCATTGGTAAGCAGAGGAATGTGGTTGTGGGAGACCTCTTTATCATATTTCGGTAAGGAACCTTCTCCCCGCCCATAATTCATGTCCCAGCTCGACATGCGCTCTGAAATCTTCTGCTTGTTAGCCTGATTTTCAGAGTAATGGTGATCATCAGGTCCATCATCAGCAACACCAGCCTCCTCTCCGTCACTAAGAATTGCAGGACTTCCTATTTCAAAATGTAATATATTACTTTGAGAAGAAATCTTAGAAGAACTGCATATCATTACTCAAGATTCATTGTATAGCAAGTCAATTAATAATATGCACATTTGTCAATCACCTTAACGAAGTCAATAAGGATTAATGATTTCTCCTTACATCAATCTGATTTGTGTATATGAATATTACAATCGTTCATACTTAATATCTCCGATTGTCGCGTTTATAGATTCATACATCTTAATACTTCTTGAAACGTATTCGACTCTTTTCCCATTTTGCTCAACCAAATGCGATGCACATAGGCTTATATTTACAAATATATGATAATTAGAAAGCATTTACTTACACATGCACTGAGATTACCTTTATGTCTCTTGTATCTGGTTTTGCACTGAGGGCAAGATTGATTACCGTCCTTCCTTTCATATTCATAGCAAGGTCTGCAAACTGGAAACGCGCAGACGTCACACGCAACAAATGGCTCACCATCAACAGTCAACCCCACATTATCACTACAGATCTGACACACTTGGCTACCAATGTTCTTCAATGGCTTTCCCTATCAATTCAAATACGGTAAATCCGATAAAAAAAAAAATATATTAAACATTGAAATCAATCAGCAATATATTAGCAAATAACACCAGTAGCAATAATAATAACAGTAGCTTACTTCAACAAATACCAAAAAAAAAAAAAAGAGAAGGGTTCAAGATTCAAGAGTAACTGAAGTGTCGCTAAGATTCCCATTATCAGAACAACAATGACTCACCAGCACCCTCTTACGTACCTTAGTTGCCGCTTCAGATTCCATTTTCACTAAGCTTCGGCAAGAGCAATGGATTCACAATCAGCAAAATACAAGCTTCAATCAGAAATTAACATCCCAGAACAGCTAAAATACGCCTTTGAGAACTGTGCTAGGTATCATTTCACTCCCACAATCTTCCGTTAGAACAGCAAAAGTAGCTCAATTTGATTCGTTCAATTCACAGATCAGATCTACTAATCATCCCCAAATAAAAGGGTTCATACAGATGAAAGGCAAATGCATACCCTCTAATCAAGATCAAGCCAGCCGACGACGATCAGATGGAAGCGAAGGTAGAGCGAGTAGAAGTGATGGCCACTGGCTGTTGCGGGTTGCGGCTACTCTCTCCTCTCTACAAAACATAACATATATAAGTGCGTGTGCGTAGCTGTTAGTGTTAGTTTCTGTAAAATAAATGTGAAAACAATGAATTGGCGTGTGAGGGAAGAATACGACAGGGGAGGTTGCCTGAAGGAGAGAGAAAAGGTAAGTGAGAGAGTGTCGTTTTCAGCTGATCAGTCCACCGACAGTGTTGAAGATGGTTGTACCTGGAAAAAGGTTCGTTATTTTATCGCTGAGAATGCTTGTACCATTTGGACCGATTTTAGTCCTCGACTGTGGTAGACGAAAATCGCCCGGCTGACGCTACCGCTATTTATTTCCCACCAAATGATTAAATTTCATCCACACGATTGCTTTTTTTTTTTTATTATTATTATTATTATTTAGACACAAAAGTATTAGATAATGATATGAGATATCATATCTGGTCAGCTAGACCCACGAAACTGACCCACTGGATCGGATGAGTCGATAGGATGAACGGAGTCGAACGGAGAGCATCCAGGTCAACAGAGGCATAATGCAAGTATGGTGTACAGGTCGAGAAAGGGTCCTTGGATGGCCCGAGGGAACATTGACATGTCGAGGGCCTGGTCGAATCATCGACCTTTGTACTTAGTGGGTCAGTCACGTGGGGAGAGTGTTTTACCTGGTGACGTGGATTTGGTCTCATAGTAAGACCGTCAGATAAAGAAGACTGGCAGACTAAAAAGTATTTAACTCAAGAGCAACGTTGTTCAGGGATTGGACCACGTGTTGCCACTGGATTGGGTTGCCTGACCACCTGAGAAGTCTGGCGCCTGGAGCAGTGTAGGTGTACGAACAGGCTGCTTGGGCAGCTAGGTCAACTCTTCGGGCAAACTTGGGGAACAAAATACTACACCCCTATATAAAAGACACATATGCCCTTAAACATTATTTTGTATTCTAATTTCTACGCATGTTTGACTCCCACTCCACGCTTCCTTTCAATCGGGTCAAACTAGATGAGGGTTTCACAGAAATCTGAGCGAGCATCTCGTCGAATTCGGTGGTGGGGATCGACCTCGGCACTGCCAACTCCGTCGTGGCGGTGATGAAGGGTGGTCAACCGACGATCGTGACCAACGTTGAGGGTCAGCGGACGATGCCGTCGGTGGTGGCGCACACCAAGGCCGGGGATAGGCTGGTGGGGCAGATCGGGAAGAGGCAGGCGATGGTTAACCTCGAGAACACGTTCTTCTCGGTGAAGAGGTTTATTGGGAGGAAGATGAACGAAGTTGATGAGGAGTCTAAGCAAGTTTCGTATAGGGTTGTGAAGGATGACAATGGGAATGTGAAATTGGAGTGTCCTGCTACTGGTAAATTGTTTGCTCCTGAGGAGATTTCAACTCAGGTATGTTTTTATCTTTTTTTATTTATTTTTTATTTTTATTTTTTGGAGATAGATGGGTTTAAGTTCTTATGTTGCTTTATTGATCTTGAGATTATGAGATGGTTGAGTTGTGTTTGTGGTGATTTTTTGTGATGGTTCTATTGATTGGCTTTTATGGATTGTTAATAGTAGTGATGGATTGCGTTCTCCTACTTGTTTTTTTTAACCTTTGGCCTGTGTTTTTCCCTCTTTCAAAAAGCATTGTTGAGCTAAACTGTAATTTTATGTTTTTTACAGGCCGGCCGACCATACACTGTGATTACGCCCATTGCGATGGGTCGTGTGCGTGGGTGGCATGATTACGCCCATTGTGATGTTTTGTGGGGTTGACGTGACAATGATGGCCCCCGTGAGTGCCACGCCGTTGATTAATATGGCGGCACTCAAGGCGATGAACTTTGTTCGTCAGGATGGTCGTCGATACTTGTTCATACAGAAGGCTCACGATCATTTCCCACTGCCGAATGCTCAGTCAAATGAGGTGCAAACGGCATTTGGCCAGTCGGTTGGGGGCGTGAGTAGGAATGTCCGACCTCGCGTAGAGTTGCACCCGAGTGTGGAGGAGGAGAATGAGTACAAGCGAGGCGGAGACATTCCGATGGATGTTCCGGAGAGCTCCAATCAAAGAGCGGAGGGGGCCGTTTTCCCTCCTCCCTTGAGCTTAGATGATCGGATAACGAGTTTGGAGGCCGAGATGAGAGGTGTGCGGGCGGATCAGAGAGATTGATGGCGATGATTCGCTAAATGCATTAGTGGCACATAGATGAGGGCCATTTTGGCCCACCACCTCAGTGAATTTTTTTTTTTGGTTGGTGAGTGTTTCTTAATCCTTAGTTATGAATTTCTATTCCCTCTTGTGATTCATAGAATTTCATTTAAGTTTGGGAGTCATTTATAGGATTCAAGAAAACACATTATCTTGCATATCATATAGTTGCATGTTAGGTTTATTGCTTTAGCACGTTTATTGCTTTTGTAGGATTTGAGTAGTTGTAGTTGGTTAACTTGGATTCACCTTGATAAGTTTGTTATGCATATTGGATATGGAATTCGGGCATGATGTACTAGGTGATGGAATTTGATGATGAATTGAATTGTGAATTTGAATGAGTGGTTGATGCTTTTAATTCATGAATATATGAGCTTTTGTGAGCTTTTGAGCCTTATACTTTGTTGATTGAGTGTATCGTTCATTGTTGTTGAATTCTAGAACTTGCATTGGTATCTATATTGAGACTACATGGTGTGTGCATTTTTGTGAAAATGATTTAAGGCATATTTTTGTTTTAGCCCTTTTGACTTTGAGCTTACCAAATAATGTTTTTATTCCCTAGTCAACCCTTTTGAGCTTTTGCCTATTTTATTGATTGTCATACATTAAGCTATTATCTTTATTTTTCCTTGTCCTTACTTGAGTATTTAGGATTATATTATGTGAAGGGATGAGTGTGTTGTGGTGGTGAGAAAAAAAGGGATATTTTGGGATGAAAATGTTGTTTGGAAATTTGAATAAGGCCATTGAATGAGACCAATGAATAAAAAAAAAAAATATATATATATATAAAAAAAATAGAAAAAAAAAACAAAAAAAAACAGGCCAATGAAAAAAAAAATATTATTTTGTATATAGTTTGCCTTAGTTCGAATAAAGGCGACTTTTGGTTTTTTGTTCGATCTTTATTCTCTTATGGATTGAAATAATTGATTGAATTTGGGTAGTGGATGAGTTATGTTGATAAGGAGATAAATTGTCGTGGTTCATGTTTTGTAATTCTAGATGCTCAAGTGTTCGTCACTTTGTCCATATTTTTCCTACCCTAACCAAAGAGCCTACATTACAACCAAATAAAAAGTCCTTTTTGATTCATGAAATGCATGCACTATAAGTGGTGGAGATAGTAGACGATTTGCAAGCTTATGGTAATTCTTTGACATTGAATTGATTTGAGCTCAAAGTCAAAAGGGCTAAAACAAAAATATGCTTTAAATCATTTTCACAAAATGCACACACCATGTAGTCTCAATATAGATACCAATGCAAATTCTAAAATAACAACAATGAACGATACACTCAATCAACAAAGTATAAGGCTCAAAAGCTCACAAGTGCTTATATTCATGAATTAAAAGCATCAACCACTCATTCAAATTCACAATTCAATGCATCATCAAATTCCATCACCTAGTACATCATGCCCGAATTCCATATCCAATATGCATAACAAACTTATCAAGGTGAATCCAAGTTGACCAACTACAACTACTCAAATCCTACAAAAGCAATAAACGTGCTAAAGTAATAAACTTAATATGCAACTATATGATATGCAAGATAATGTGTTTTCTTGAATCCTATAAGTGACTCCCCCAAACTTAAATGAAATTCTATGAATCACAAGAGGGAATAAAAATTCATAATTAAGGATCAAGAAACACTCACCAACCAAAAAAAAAAAAAATCACTGAGTTAATGGGCGAAAATGGCCCTCATCTATGTGCCACTGATGCATTTGGCAAATCATCGCCATCATCTCTCTCTGATCCGCCCGCACACCTCTCATCTTGGCCTCCAAACTCGTCATCCGATCATCTAAGCTCAAGGGAGGAGGGAAAACGTGCCCCTCCGCTCTTTGATTGGAGCTCTCCGGAACATCCATCGGAATGTCTCCGCCTCGCTCGTACTCATTCTCCTCCTCCTCCACACTCGGGTGCAACTCTACGCGAGGTCGGACATTCCTACTCACGCCCCCAACCGACTGGCCAAATGTCGTTTGCACCTCATTTATCATCGTCGAGTATGCATCACTCCACATTTTAATGTTCACCACGCCATCGTCACTATTGTGGTGGACTGAGCATTTGGCAGTAGGAAATGATCGTGAGCCTTCTGTATGAACAAGTATCGGCGGCCATCCTGACGAACAAAGTTCATCGCCTTGAGTGCCGCCATATTAATCAACGGCGTGGCACTCACGGGGGCCATAACTGTCACGTCAACCCCACAAAACATCGCAATGGGTGTAATCATGTCACCCACGCACACCACCCACCCACGCGCGGCCCAGAAGAAGAAGCACATGCTCCTGAAGAAGCACTGCGCTTTTGTTTGAGGCATGCGAATACTGTGGGGTCCAGTTCATGGACGCTACCATGTGGATGCACCACCCGAGGACGGAAAAGATGAAGGAGTTTCTGCAGGATTCTTTCATAAGGGCCTATAGTTGATGCCTTGGTAAATTTACATCCT